TTTTTTTTTTTTTTTTTTTTTGGTTTGTTTGTTGTTGTAAAGTTAAGTACACTTTTGTCTTTAAAGGAGATGCTCTCATCCCATGTAAGTTAGAGAGTGAAACAAAATATTGACGACGATACGTAACGAGCTAAAATGTACAATATTTGCTAGCGTTGTGCTTAAACTATTAGAGTTGGTATAAGAATTAGACACCAATCAATGGACCGGCGAGAATACTGGCCGCAAAAAAAAAGTGAATTGTGAGATTAAGAAACCATAAGTTAAAAGATCCATAAACAAGTTTATTAAATCAAGTCTAATCGCCCGTTCTCGAACCCTAAATTTTGTTATCTACTACAGAAAAATAGGTTACCATGAACCTAATTTATAATTGAACATTTAATATTTGAGTAATAGAAGGGAAGGCTTGTGTGTCAAAGAGGGTAATAGAAGCTGTGGATGAGGAGAACAATTCAGTAACGTGGAAAGTGTTAGAGGGAGACATTTCAAAGAACTACAAGAACTTCAGAGTTAAAGTCCAATGTATACCAAAGGAGAAGGGAAGTGTGGTTCACATTACTTTGGAATATGAGAAGCTGCATGAACAAATTCAAGATCCACACACTTTTCTTCAGCTTTGTGCTGATGCCGCCAAAGATACTGATGCTCACCTCATGGGATATGATAATGAAGGTTCGTGTATAACTGCTAAGGCATGAGCAACAAGTCTCTATCTCCACCACTCATAGCTCTTGGGTGGTGGTCCTATTACTATGTTATGTTATAATAATTGCTAAGGCATGAACAACAATAATCTAAATCTTTGTATGCTTCTAATAAAATATGTGTTTTGGTGCAATAATTGTTAACATTGTGTACTAATATGCGTTCTTGTTGGATGAGTAGTGGTAACTATAAGTTTTTCAAGATTTTCGATCATCGATTGGTACTATTGACATAGAAAAATATTAATTCATCATCATCAACATGTTATATCTGAAAAGGAAGAATAACATGAATGAATAGCTTATTTATGCTATGTTATTTAGTGAGAGAATGAAGTAAAATCAATAAAGTGAACAACCTAACTTCTGTGTTTGTGTAACACTCGAGTAAAGGAAATGACATGAATGAATCGGGACTACACCTGGATGAGAACGATTTTGAAGATAGGATGACTAAGAAAATTTTAAAAAAATTGAAACTTAATACTTATACCAATAAAGTGCACTTTTCTTTTCCTTGACTCAATTATAAAAACTTCAAAATTAAGTGTGTTTTGTTTCTTTTCTTTCATTTTGGAGGATCGAAAAAAATTGAGTTCTCGAAAAATTGTCTATAACTCTTAAAGATCAAAGATTCCCTATAAATCTTGAAATCTTCGACACTTTAAGCTAAGAATTGATCTAACGTACAACATCAAATTAAAAGTCGATGAAGATCATATATGAACTGAAAAAGTAACTAAGAGATTTGTGTATTATCATTCTTATGCACTACAATAATTTAAGAATAATTTAAGAAGTGACCAAATTGATTAGAGCACATTCTTGGGATTTGTTACATTAAATAACAATGGGTAGCTTTATTTATTTGAAAATAAATAAAAGACATTCATAATTATGTAAAGAAAAGTCATTTTGAAAATAATGATACATTCATAAATAGAATTAATTTATATTTATATGTCAAGGTATTTTTTCATATATATATATTAAGGACCATTTTTTGTGGGTATGACTTAATTTATTTTATGAGTTTACCGGTCTTAGAACGTCACAGAAGCTAACATTATATCGATAAAAAAGGGTTTAACTTGTCAGATTAAAAGAGAATTTAGTACAAACCCTTGCCTTAATTAAGGCAGGGAGTAGTTGTTTTATTACATCATATCATTCAAACCCACCTAATCAAATAAGTATTATTATAGAATAATAATGATAAGATTAAACTACAACAATATCTTTTAGAGTAACCCTTATGGCATCCGTTATTGCATCATGTGTGTCTCTTTAAATTGAGCTTAGTAGGGGAGACATGCTTGGTAGCAATATCTATTTTTATCTTTGTAACTTGTTCTTCCAATAACTCAAAGTCATGGCTCTCTATGGAAAATTAGAAACCGAGGTTAAAATTAGGACTTCAGCGGAAAAGTTTCACGAAATTCATCAAAGACCTCACCATATGTCCAATATCTGTTCAGATAAAATACAAGGCGTCGAGTTACATGAAGGTGAATGGGGCAAAGTTGGCACTATCCTCTACTGGCGCTACGTTCATGGTTTGTTCATTAATATTACATCTCTTCCAAGCTTTCACTTTTTATCTTTTATCAATTCAATTATAATTAACCAATGTTGTGTGGATTAAATCCATATAGATGGAAATAATTGTGTAGTGAAGAGTGTAATAGAAGCGGTGGATGAGAAGAACAATTCATTCACTTGAAAAGTATTAGAGGGAGACCTTTTGAAGGGCTACAAGAGCTTCAGAATTAAAATCCAATCTATCCCAAAGGAGAAGGGAAGTGTGATTCATTGTGCTTTGGAATATGAGAAGCTTCATAAAGGAATTCCAGATTCTCATACTTTTCTTCAGCTTTGTGTTGATGTCGCCAAAGACATTGATGCTTACCTTATCGGAGATAATAATGAAGGTTCATTTATAACCAAGGCATGACCAACAAACCTCTATCGCCACCCATAGCTAAGGTGGTGCTATTACTATGTTATGCAATAATAATGGGCTATTACAATGTTCCTAATTATAGATGTAGGATCACTGTGAAATACTATATTATATGCTTCTAATAAAATGGAAATAAAGTTTGTAATAACATTAAATAAAATGAATCATTAATTGGATTATCCTAAGTCACATTGTTATTATACCGACATACGAATAACATGTTAAGAATCACGATTCTCCATAATGATATGGTATTGTTCACTATGAGCATAAGTTCTCAAGGTTTTGTTTTGGGTTTTCCGAGAGATCTCATACCAAATAGAGATACTATTCTTCACTTATAAACTCATGATCTTCCATGAAATTAATCAACGTGGGACTCACTCCCAATAATCCTCACCATAACAGTTGTATAATTTTTTTTTACTACAAATTCTTTCTTCTTAAAACCTTTTGTCGTCGAAAGTTCTTAAGTCTAAAGCAACTTGAGGTAACTTATATTTATCTCATTTTCAGGCAGTTCGGTGATTTCCTTATAATACTTTTACCAAGGTGATTTTCTTATCTTCCCTAAAGGGTGTGGTTCATAATCAATAGCATGCGAAAGATAGGGTGTTTTTCTGTTAAGAATAAGGTTTATAGTGCGTGCATGCATGACATGTCTTCTATGAGCGAAAATTTTCATTTAAAATATTTCACAAAGAATGGCATAGACTTGTACTTTCATAATAAATTCATTAAAATGATAAGGTGGAAAATTAATAACATGAGTTTAAATAAAATAAAGGAAAATAAAGTAATGCTCTAATCTAACCCAAGTGCCACAAAAGCTAACATGAATGCATTAACCATAACTTCGGTCTCATGGTTGTCATCACGACGTCATAATATGTACAAGAGTGCCTTAAAGGTAAGAGTAGCACGTGGATTGAGGCTTTAAAAAATACCTAGTAAGTAACTCCATGGTTGGGGATGAAAAATGCGATCATTTGCAATATGGTGAGACCTATCATTTCATAAAAACATCATGACATGGCCTTGGACTCTGCTTTCCAGTCCAAAAAAGGTTGGATGTGACACTCGAGTAAAGGAGGGGTACATAAATGAACTGAGATAACCTTTAAATGGGAGCGATTCTGAGAATAGGACGACTAAGAAAGATTTAAAAGAAATAAAAGCTACTATTCATACCAACAAGGTGCACTTGTCTTTTCGATGACTCCATCATAAGAACTTCATGGTTAAATGTTTCATGTGAGTGAAGACAAAACATGTTAGAAGGACTCGTGTTGGTCTATGAAGATAGTTTTCAATCTTAAGAAGTGAGGAGTAGCGTAGGAAACTATAAGAAGTGAGGAGTAGCGTAGCTCATTTGGGTAGCGTAGACTCACACTACCAGACACTAGAATCTTAGGAAAGAATAATATCTTGGCGTGTTCTAGAAGTTGGGTTGGTGTAAGAGAAAAAAAAAACAAATACCTTTATTTTTCTTTATTAGCCTTCTTTATTCTTATGAGCTACAATAATTTAAGAAAGTGACCAAATTGATTAATGAGGTGGGATTTGTTACATTCTAGAACCATGGGTAGCTTTATTTATTTGAAAATAAATAAAAGACATTCATAATTATGTCCCAAAAAACAGTCATTTTCAAAATAAGAAACAAAAGAATTGTGGATGTATGAAGAAGAGAAAATTGAAAGTTTGAACCCTTGCCTTAATTAAGGCTGGTAAGACTTGTAGTGGTTGTTTTATTACATCATATCATTCATATCCATCATATTATCCATACCCACTTAATGAAATGAGTATTATTATAGAATAATAATGATAAGATTAAACTATACCAATATGCTTTAGAGTCAGCCTCATGGCATCCATTATCGCATCATGTGTGAGACTAAGCCTTCTCTTTAAATTGACCTTGGAAGCAATATCTATATCTTTTTGTTGGGTTACAATTTGAGTAGTAACTCAAAGCCATGGCTCTCTATGGAAAGTTGGAGACTGAGGTAAAAATCAATGCTTCAGCGAAAAAGTTTCATGAAATACTTCATCAAAGACCTCACCATATGTCCAATATCTGTTCAGATAAAATACAAAGTGTCGAGTTACATGAAAGCGAATGGGGCAAAGCTGACACTATCCTCAATTGGCGCATTATTCTTGGTTTGTTTATTTGTATTTATGAATCTTTTTTTCTTTTTTAGTATATTTAGTTCGAACTTTTAAATTTATTGGCGTAATGGATCACTAAACTTCTAATTTTATGCAATTTATTCAACATTTTTTTTAAATTCAATATTAAATCGACATCATATTTAACTAAACCTTTTAGATGGAAGAGTTCACAAGGCAAAGAAGGTAATTGAAGATGTTGATGAGGAGAAGAATTCATTCACATGGAGAGTGGTAGAGGGAGACCTCTTAGAGCTCTACAAGAGCTTCAAAATTAAAGTCCAATGTATCCCAAAGGATGAGGGAAGTGTAATTCACTTTACTTTGGAGTATGAAAAGCTGCATGAAGGAATTCCAGATTCACATACTTTGCTTCAGCTTTGTGCAGAGGTCACCAAAGACATTGAGGCTCACCTTATGGGAAACAATAATGATGTTTGAGCCATTGGTTAAGGCATGGTGGTATCAATATATTATGGAATAATAATTGGCTATTACTATGTTCTATGCCATCACGAATGAGAAAAAATTGTGGAGAAATATTATAATATGAATGTTTATATGCTTCCAATAAAATGGGAATAAAGTGTATCTTTTAACTTATTCGGATATCATAACTTCAAAAGATTAGTTTATTTTGAAGGTTTGAACTTCGGAATGTTGTTTTTGTTTTGGTTCTAACTTATATATCATAAATGTTTAAATTTTCCATATCAAAATAATGATCTCATTCTAAATGATTAAAATTCTTAGGAGCCGTCCCATTGAGTCGTCAAGCCAAATTATTGAGCTGTCAAATTGAGCTGAGAGTACTGATAACTGAGCTAAGTCACTGAGTCGTCAAGCAATACATTAAGATTCTCTTTGCATGCATGCTACAATAATTATCCTAGGTGGATAGTTTCACATGAAATGAACCTAGGTGATTAGAGAATTATCACCTAGAGAATTAGGAATATGGAAGCATCATTATTGTGAAATTTTATTTTAGAAAAAAAAGTTAGTAGGACAATATATTTTATATCCGTTAGGATTTTTTGGATTTGGTTGGTGGTAAATTTTATCTTATTTTCATATTTGGTTATTATTATATTTTCTCTTGGTAACTTTTATCCTATATAGAGATGGTGAACATTAATAGATATAGGATCTCACTTATGTTTCTTATTCTTAACAATGATGTATAGAATGCTTGTATGCTTTATGGTTCCACCGTAGATATGTGTTTAATTCATGCTAAAAGGAGGGTGAGAATTTGTGATCTGCGCTTCGGGTGCTTGATGAATGTTATTGTCCCGTTGAGCATATATATATTTATTATGCATGGATTATGTATCATGATTCTTGATAGTTATTGTGTGCACCCGAAGTTAATTCTAATGAACTAGTATCATGTTAGATTAGGGACATGTGGTTAGGTTGACTATTTACCTAATTCAGACTTGACCTTTCTCTTACGAGCCTAAAAGATGACCATAATTCATCAAAAACCTCACCATATGTCTAATATCTCTTCAGATAAAGATAAAATACTAAGTTGCGATTTACACGAAGGCAAATGGGGCAAAGTTGGATCTATCATTTATTTCAACTACGTTCATGGTTTGTTTATTTATATTTGATATGTTCGAAGCTTTCAATATCTTTTATCATCTATATTTAAAAAAAAACATAACTTTTATGACTCTGACATTCCCCTGCAACATGGTCATGTTACTTTTCTCTTCTAAGAGTGAAAATTATTCTCACAAATCAAGACGAGTCATTCTAACATATTTTGTCTTCATTTGTATGCATTAGAAAAATTTTCAAGAGGTCACTCAGTATATAATTGTTCAAAGTAAAACACACTTAACTATGAAACTCCTATGATTGAAGCACCGAAAAGAAAGATGCACCTACTATAAGTAGTAACTTTCATTTCATTTAAGTTTTTTTTAGTTATCTTATTCTCAAGATCGCTTACATCCTGATGTGTATGTACCAATTTTTCTTTGAATCAATATTGCATCTATATTATATTTAACGAATGTCTTGTGGATTAAACCCGTGTAGATGGGAAGGCTTGTGTGGCCAAGAACCTAATTGAAGATGTGGATGAGGAGAACAATTCATTCACTTGGAAAGAGTTAGAAGGAGACCATTTAAAGCGCAACAAGAGCTTCAGAATTAAAGTCCAAGGTATCCCAAAGGATAAGGGAAGTGTGATTCACATTACTTTGGAATATGAAAAGCTGCATGAAGCAATTCCAGATTCACATACTTTTCTTCAGCTTTGTGTTGATGTCGCCAAAGACATTGATACTCACCTTATGGGAGACACTAATGAAGGTTCATTTGTAAGTGCTAAGGCATGAAAAAGTCGCTAGCTCTCTCCACCCATTGCCAGGGTGATGCTATTACTATGTTATGGAATAAGAATTGGCAATTATTATGTTGCTAATTATAGTGTTATACTTAAATAATGCTTTGTTTAGCTTGTTCTATGCTATCTTTATCTTTAATGGTGAAATATCATTGCAAATCTTAGTTTTTTATTTTTTATTTTTTATTTTTTTTTTACCGAAATAGAGTCATTATCACATTCATGACATGACTTTTTTATGCGAAAAACATTCATTTCAAATAGTTCATAAACGATTTCATTTCATGGACTTACATGTTAAAAATAAAAACCTTAAATCAATCCCAAACATATGAAACCGAGAATAAACCATATATCCAAAAACTAGACAAAATAAAATAGAGAAAACAGAAAAACAATTTCCTGATCTAACCTAAGGGCGACAAGATAAATAAAGTGCAACTACCCTAACACAAATTCCATGATCTTCAATGCGGCTCCATACAAAGTGTCTCACCTTTACCTAAAATATAAAAATAGCACAAGACTTGTATTTTAAGAATACTTAATAAATAACTCTACTATTGGGGTCGGGAATGCAATTACATACAATATGAGTACTTATCATTTAAAACATCATTTCATGTCATTCCCTTAGGTGACTTTCCAGTCCGAGCTAAATTGGATGAGTAGTACTTCTCTACACATGATTCACATGTGTGAACGTGGGCTCACCAGGTGGGTTCGCACACCCCTTTGACTTGTTGGTTGGGCTAGCACTTGTTGATGAACTATTGTCGAACACCCAGAGGGAATAGCGACCGTCGTAGCATCATGATAAACATGATGATCATTTCAGTCTCCTGGTGTACGTGTCCTTACTCATCATAAAGGGGAAGTATCCCGATACACATGAACATACAATTATGCATGTGGTCCCCATACTTTCCATCGTGGCGTAATAAATAATGCAAGACAATCTCTATTAATTCATCACATATTAAACTCATTAATTATGCATACATAATCTTATACATCATTCATACATAACCTAGCTTCCAAGTCATGACATATTAAGGTTGTGCATCATAGATTTCTTTATTTTAAAACATATCATGGTGTAACATAATAATCATAGTGTATCATGACATCTCGTAACATAAAATGTCATATCATAACATAACTTGGTATTTCATTTATACTATAATAGTATTTGGCATATCATATAGCGTAACATAACCTAAGTTCTCCATAATGCATGATTAAAAGAGAATTATAAAAAATAGAAGGTTCGAATTAATAATGTATAACCTACTACATTATAACCCTAGCCTTAATTAAGTCTTATAGTGGTTGTTTAATTATATCATATTGTTCATATAACCAAAGTAGTATTATATCATAATAAAAAAAGAATAAATTGGAATCCATATTTTAATTATTCATTACTTCTAAGATGAAAATTATCTCCACAAACTAACACAAAAATACTAATTACTTTGGTAATGGCAATTGGAATCATATTAACTCCCATTTATTTATTATCTATGTTACGCCATATGTTCTATGGATAAAGCTTTTTAATATTCAAAATTCTTATTTTTTTTATTCGAGACCACGAGAGTTGTTTGTTGCAATCTCTATCTTTATACCTGTCATTGGTTGTTCATTTATATTCATTTGTTCGAAACTTTTTTATTTTTATTTTATCTTTTATGAGTTAGTTTATAATTTTAATATTTACAATAAGTCACCAAAATTTTAAAATATTTAAAAGCTTTGTTTGATCATTATTTTGTTTTTTTTTTTTTTTTTTTTTTTTGAAATCTAATTGGAAACTACACTTGTGTTTTAAAAAATATGTTGTGAGATCTCACATTGATTGGAGAGAGAGGAACAAAACATTCTTATAAGGGTGTGAAATCTCTCATTAGTAGAAGCGTTTTCAAATTATAAGACTCACGACGTACGTAACAGTTCTTTAACTCTACCTCTAAAATTTGTGTTAGTAGCTAACCCAAAATTTTAAAAAACATAGAGTAGGTGGAGAGTTGAGTTATCTAATAAAGGCATCTAATAAAAAATGTTTCGTTCCTTTCGATGTGGGATCTCATAATCCACCTATTTGAGTCTCAACGTCCTCACTAACACTCATTCTCTTTTTACATCAAACATTTTAAGAGATAAAAGGACAAAATAAACCTAAACTTAAAACTACTTATAATTTATCCATTTTTGTTCGAGTAATAGAAGGGAAGGTTTCTGTGTCAAAGAGGGTAATAGAAGCTGTGGATGAGGAGAACAATTCAGTAACGTGGAATGAGTTAGAGGGAGACATTTCAAATAACTTCAAGAACTTCAGAGTTAAAGTCCAATGTATACCAAAGGAGAAGGGAAGTGTGGTTCACATTACTTTGGAATATGAGAAGCTGCATGAACAAATTCAAGATCCACACACTTTTCTTCAGCTTTGTGCTAATGCCGCCAATGACATTGATGCTCACCTCATGGGATATGATAATGAAGGTTCGTGTATAACTGCTAAAGCATGAGCAACAAGTGTCTATCTATTACTATGTTATGGAATAATAATTGCTAAGGCATGAACAACAATAATCCAAATCATTGTATGCTTCTAATAAAATGTGTCTTGGTGCAATAGTTGTTAACATTGTGTACTAATATGCATTTTTGTTGGATGAGTAGTTGTAACTATAAGTTTTTCAAGATCTTCGATCCTCGATTGCTACTATTGACATAGAAAAATATTAATTCATCATTATCAACATGTTATATTTGAAAAGGAAGAATAACATGAATGAATAGCTTATGATATGTTAATTAGTGAGAGAATGAAGTGAAATCAATGAAGTGAACAACCTAACTTCTTTGTTTGTGTAACACTAAATGAATCGGAACTACATCTGAATGGGAACGACTAAGAAAATTTTTAAAAAATTGAAACTTAATACTTATATACCAATAAGGTGCACTTTTCTTTTCGTCGACTCAATTATAAGAACTCTAAAGTTAAGTGTGTTTTGTTTGGAGCAATTTTACCTTGGATGTACTCAATTTTCCTAAAAAGTTTGTGAGGGAAGACAAAATATGCTGAAAGATTTGTGTTGGTCTGTAGAAATAATCTTCACTCTTAAAAATTCGT